TTTTTGTTCAATTTATCGTTAAATAAACAGTCCAACATCTATATACATCTATCAGTAAACATACATCTTTCCAAAAATAAATAGTAAAGAAACGAATATCAAAGATTCAACATATAATACAGAAACTTGCACTGAATTATTACATTACACCACCTGAACTTGAAACGTGAAGTTTGATGTGATGGAAAACTTTACAAGGCCTTAGGCTCCAGAGTTGTCATATATATCGAAGAAAACTTTTTAAATAATAAATCTAATCCTCATACCAGACTGAAACGACAAGAAACCACTCAGCGTTTCCGATTACTTCAACACTTACTAGACAAACGCTCTAAACTTCCAATTAATTACAAAAGACTGATATACATGACTATAATAAGACCTATTTGGACTTACGGAGTTGAGCTATGGGGCTCCAATAAACCATCGAATTATTCTCGTATCCAATCCTTACAATCCAAAATCCTTCGTAAAATCCTAAATGCTCCCTACTTTGTTACAAATAAAACTAATGACCTTAATGTTTCTTATGTTACAGATCTGGTCCAATAACCTATACCTATTTTTCCATAATTAACTTCAGAATCATCGCAACCCTCTAGTTTCTAACTTTGCATCCTCTTCAATTCCGGATAACCCTCCGAGGCGCCTGAAAAGAAGATGGCCCTCTGATCTCCTAATGTAGACATATCATTAGAGTGCTACCATTGGGTAGTTACTCAGCAAGTGTTTTTCATGTCATTATATACATTATGTTCAAATTTACTAAATGTATTTATTTAAGACAGTTGTAAATATCATTAAGAAATAATTTTAAAAAAATAATAAATTTATTTTTGTGGTAACCATTTTAAAATAAGAAACATGGCATAGCTCTAAATTATATATATTTTTTTAAATTATTGTTTTTAGCTATATTTCGTAAAAAAAATAGACTCTTTCACTGTAACGAGGGACATCAGAATTTGATTTAATGCTGCATTTCGTCACCTCCAAGGAGCCCCTTGGGATAAAATGAACTTAAATTCGGCATACATAGTTTTGAACAAAAAATAATCATAAAACTTGGGATACATTTAGTGAAAACTTAGGTATGAGCGAGCATTTTTCAAGATTTTCTTCGGTTTTTAAATGTTTGCGCAGCATTATAACCCTTCCTAATTGAGTTAGAGGGTTTAAAATTATGTAAATTACGTTGGAGTCGGTTGAATGTTTTTGGATAACTTTTGGGGTCTCAATTTTTAACTGCAACGCAGTTTTCCCCGTATTTGAGGTTTTGCGTATCTGTGTAGTCCTTCCCTATTAAACGCATGCCAATTAAATACCTGCAAGCAAATTCCTGAAAGTTTGGGAACAATTTCAATTCAATTCAAGGATATATATTTCATGTATCTGATTTGAATAGTAAAGAAAAGTTCGATTGTTCGTGAAAATTTTGAGAATAAATCCATTTGACACCAGAAAAGGGCGGGGCTTTGAAGCAATATCTACTTTGGCAGCATGATAACACTTTATCAGCTTCTGTATTGTTATTCAAGTTCTTATCTATCTTCATCAAAATTTCCTAACCCATACAAAACTGAACGTTAAAAATTTCACAAAATCTAACAACTATTAGGTATGTTCAGTTTAATATCCAAACACGGAGAGAAAATACATTATGAGTCGTTAAAAAATAAAACAAAAGATAGCAACGTAAGAACACTTATTCTGGAAGGAAAATAATTACTCCCAATTGACCATAATTAACATCCAACGTTTTAAAACAAAAATTAAGCATGGCTTTCACAACTGATTTGAAGTTTAAAAAAAAATAATAGCGTTGTTGTGGTCGATGGGATAGTGCAGTAACTAGACCACAAAAATATTATCAACAGTTTAGTTACACCAGAAAATCATCTACGTAATACCATTATGCAGAAATCATGATAAAATATGATATTTTTCCATCAAGATACTGTTCGACAACAAGAAAGAGGAACTACCCAAGTAACGCTCATTTACCGGTCTTAATTTGAAGAAGTATAGCAAGGGGAAAGATCAGTTTAGTGAAAAATAATATTGGATCTAAAAATATTAATTATCTTCTTTATCAAATAAATAAAACTAGTTGACCGGCACGAATAATCAAATATAATATATAATAATAATTATTTTTTAATTCTCAGTCGATTACAATAATTTATTATTTAAAACTAATGTTCATCCAGTGGTCGAAATTCGCCCATTATGATTGTTATAAATTTGAGAAAAACATATTTTCATGTTTAATTTTTTTTTTTTTTACTTCTTTACATATGTACATACACCTTTATATATATTCACTATATAAAACAGTGCAGTACCTTAAAGCACAGTTCAGTTTACTTTTTGAGTTGCTTACAAATAAAATTCTGATCCATCTGAAAGTATAAATTGAAAGGGCTTCAAGAAGAAGACTTTAGCCAAGTTTCATTAAAATCTCTACAGCCGTTTTGGCGTTGTAGTCTATACCGAAACACGTTTTTCGGACGCCATTTCTAAACAAAATGACGGGTTGTGATGAAATGTGTAAGAAAAAACACTCTTCAATTTCAGTGCAATGTATCAGAATTTCAAAGCAATTAGTGCAGAATTTTTGGAAATTATCGGTTTTGAACAAACTAAAATTTAAATTTTATTTATATCATATTCTTTTATTTATTTTTTTATTGATAATACTAAAGCTCGTTAATAGCTATTAAATAAAAAGAAAAATCTGTTAAGAAACAAAGGAGAAAAAAAATACTGTTTTGGTACACAATGATGAGCCAAAACATGTGTACAAATTTCAAAATGCTATAACTTTTCTGATAATGGTACGATTTCGATTATTTTCTTTTTAACTTGTGGAGAATTCAAAAGTGTTTTTATTATAACCAACCATTAATTTTATACTTTTTGAATAATGAGGAAAATTTCCTTCCCTTCATAACACTTTTCTGACTTTTCCAGGAGGGATGTATTTATTTTTCGGCACTGAAAGAGAAGATAATAATGAACAAAACGATGACTCAATCATTGCATTTTAAGAGCATTGCAATTAAAACTAAATGATTTCAGGAACTGATATCTTTACGATGTAGCGGATTTTCATTAGTGATTTCCAAAAGAACATTCCTACATTTTGTAGACCATTTCGTCCGGTTTACTTAATTAACAATTTTTTTGAAAAAATAATTTAGTTGATTGTTAAATCATATAAGTGAATGGAACCAAAACCAAATACTCGATACTGAACATTTGTCAAGTTAATAATCTTTATAAGGTATTTAATAAATTGATTAAATGTTGGAGTGTTTTAAAATAAATTAAAAATCTTAAATCTTAATTTGAAAACTCTAGTTTTATCTTGAAATGTAAATCACATCGTTTCACAACAAATATACACGATGTTAAACAATGCAGTCGATATCTTCAAATTTTTGAAGTATTGAGATTTATATATAAAGTATTGTGTGCTATTAATAGTTACATTCACAGACAATTTAAAAATGTAATATACTGTATGAACAAGTAAATAAGTTTTGGACTTTGTAATAAAGGTGTAAATGACCCTAGTAGTTGTAAAAAGTAAAAAACACTATAAATAAATAAATCGGTAGACATGCTACTGATAAGAACATATCGATAGTAATGTGTAAGACAGCTGACGTTCGCACGTTCCGGTGAAAATTAAATAAACAAAATATATAAAATTGATAATTATAGCCTGTAACTTTCGATCAAAGTATTCCAAAAAAATCTGACATTTCTTAATATATTCCAATTGTGGTATCACTTATGTTTATTAAACGTAAAACTTATATGACTTAGAAGTTCATCACTACTCCGTGTGGATAACCGTTTTTAATGTAATCAGTGCATCATGAAGATATTTCAATATATCGAGAGTTTTAGTCAAAGCTTTCTTTATGGCTTTCTGGCTTGAGTTGTTCTACGAATAAAAACAAATTTTTTTTTCATTAGTCTATATTAATTTCTGTGAGTGGATTATGCTAAATACTTAAACAATCACGATAAGTTACCCCTTTAAATTATAATCCATAAACAGCAAATAATTGTAAACACATGAAAAGAAACATGTATGAAGAAATATTCGTAAAAGCATCGTTGTTCATGTAGTTACGGATTTTAGTTAGTGTTGCCCAAAATTGCACTTCGCAAGACCAAGACCATGGCCGCCTAACTGTTGCAAGACCAAGACCAGGACTGGTAAAAAAAAAACGATTTTTTAAAATAAAAATTAAGGCAAAATAGTTACTAATACTTGACAATCTTAATTACTATTTGTGAAGAATTGGTACAAACAATATACTTTTGCATTCAACTCCTCTAATTTTTCATTCGGGCTTAGTTAGATTTCTCCTATCCAAAAAATTACAGTGATATATTTACAGTAACAAGATAGTAAGTAATTTCAAGACTGTTGCGAGACTCTTGTGCAAGACCAAGACCATGACCAAGACTGAGTTTGCAAGACCAAGTCCCGTCTCGGTCTCGCATTTGAACAACACTAATTTTAGTATAACGACCGTTAAAAAAAAAAAACAAAAAAACAAAACCCTCACCCAAAAATTAAATTCTGGATCTTTTCTTTAAGTTGGTTACAAAAAAAGTATCTCTTAATTATTGTGGGCATTATTGTTCCTGTAGTTTATTTTTTTAAAAATAAACTTTTAGAGCATCACTTAAACAAAATTGCATAGAGGAATTTTTTTTTATTTTTATAACATATTAATTACCGTAAAAAAAAAATCCTCGTCCTTAAATTGCAACAAAAAAAAAAATTAAAAAAATGATAAATTTGTGTTTTTACCATTTTTTTTTTTTTTTTTTTAGAAATTTCATGATTTATTTGATAGGGAATATCAGTTCATTTTTTTCCACTAAGAAGAGGGGAACAAATGGATCCACACCTCGCCCCCTCGAAGATTTGACCAATGGACAAAGACATCCTCGGAGATGACAAGAGCACTGACCTGGCTTGGCGAGCTTGACATCGCCGAGGCGACACTCCTTGCCGAGGGCGCACTCGAAGGGCCGCTGGCTGGAGGGGGTCTGCCCCACTAAGGACGGGGGCAGGAAGGTGGACAGGATGGCGATGTCTTCGCCGGTCTCCCGCGCCTTCCTCGTCCTGTCGTCCCCGACGATCCTCAGGTTGTCCATCTTGGAAGTTAGCACTGACGTGGCCATCTCTGACGGAGTGCGGCGCGGAATTGTCTCTATCGGGCCCCATCACCGGCCGGCCGGCTCGCAGCGCATGCGCGTGCCGAAGATAGGTAGCGGGGGGTTTCGAATTTGTTAAATGTTGTTTATTTACACACTGTCTCCTTTCGGCCTTGATTAGAATGTCGCATTGTTCGGCTGAATACATTTCTTTTAAATTATGTTACATTAATTCGGAAGTTGACATATTTTTTTAAAGTTGCAAATCATAGTAACCATAGTTCATACTAATTGACTAAGATAAATGCCTGAATTAAATTTCGAAATTTTTTAAAGTTTAATTTCAATATACCGGAATCGACTTAAGAATCCAATGGTTTCTAAACAACAAAACAGTCGTCCAGATCTTACATAAAAACAAACCAGTTTTTGATACATAAATTTGGATCAATGCAAATAAAATAAGTATGACTTAGATTAAAGAAAAAAAGGATAAAAAAAAAGACAATTTGTGGATTGAGATTTTACTCTAATCTTGACCAGTATTAATCATTTCGTTTTTCGAAAAAATCAAATCAATTTTTATAAGCAATAACAAACATAATCAAACTATATTATGAATTATTATATTTAATCTGTTTATGATTATTTATAATATTACAATATTTTTATTAATCAACCTTTATATATTATAAATTAAGATAGTAATTATAGTCGGATAATAGTTTTATTTTCATAAAAGTTCATTACCTATTATCCGACTATAATTACTATTTTAAATTATAATATATAAAGGTAGATTAATAAAAATATCGTAATATTATATAATTAGGGAATTAATTGTTGTTTGCTGAAATCACAACTGGATTATTATAGGTTACAGTTTTGTTTTGTTGTCTTTTATTACATATAAAACAGGGGAGTGATATTGCCAAAAATGTGAAAACATATACCAAATTGATTAAAAAGTCTTTGCATTTGGAACCACTAAGGGTATTTTTTCTATAATGGGCAGAAAATATAATTTGTTTCCACAGCACATCCTAGATAGCACTAAGAATATTTATCAAATTATTCGTAAAAGTTCGGAGTTCATAAAACCATTAGAGAATATCATATTCAGAACACAGATCTCAATTTTAATTTAGAAATAAAAGAAATTTGTTCGGTCATAGCATGTATTAGATACAAAATAAATAGTATTCTGGTGGAAATTTCTGAAAAAATAGATCAAGAAATGTATTATAAATTGACTTATGACCAAGAGAAGCTCTACAAAAAAAAAATCATGATATATTATCCATTTATAATTAATACCTTAAGTTATATGATTATTTATACATCAAAACCCTTTTTAATCTCACAACTTTTAAATTTTTATTATTACATTTAAAAATTATTTTTTAAGGTTTCGACTTCAAGAGCCATTTTGAAAAATTGTATTTTTCTTTTTTTTTTAAAACAAAACATTAGTTCTATAAAATCATTATTTCTAAAACAAAAAAGCTTAAAATATGTATTTATATATTGCTTATTAATTTCATTAATATTTAATATTTCTCAGCAGGGGATTTTATATCGCAAGTCACTCCATCAAAATGTTTGATGATGAGGGAAGGGGGGAGTACATATTGATGGGATTGAGAATTTTTAAGGAGAGTCATTTCGACGAGGTTGTGAATATTCGAAACGTTTTCAAACAGAGAAAAACTGGGAGAAACCACAGAAAGTGCAATAATATATGATCTACGATTTTTCTAGACGAAAGAGGAGAAGCAAGCGAGACCAAGATCAAGGACTGCGTACGCAAGACCAAGACTCGTCTTGGTCACCCCTTTTTGGCAACAGTACTCTCTGCTTTTAATAATTTATATGTAAAATATGTTATGTAGATTTCAATGTTAAAATTCAATGCGTTGATTTTTTAAAACGTTTTCCTTATAATAGAATGTATGGAAGTAATAGATAAATTGAACGAACCGAAATAAAACTTATATAAAAGTTACTTAAATGGGAAAACAAAAGAAAAAAAAATCAATGTCCTAGAAAGTAACTATCCCTCGAATATTTTGCTTTTAAAAACAATCGACCCAAGAGAAAAAAAAACTCATCGTAAACAGATCTCAATGTCACCCCAAGTACGATATAAACAATAGCGTCACCATCGGGTGATATCATCAGTTAACATGCACGGTGGGACAGCCACAAGTCGACTATAGAAATGCACCTCATCCCAACCCTCTCCTTGCATAAAAATCAACACTGGTGACAATGAATTTCAATTTTTTTCTTTTTACAATCTATCTTCGAGATCTCAATTTCTGAATACACAACCTTGAACTACTTGCGCGCATAAGTATTCAAAAGAGTCGGGCAACCGCGATTGTCTTCCGAGACTAGTGTTTCCGGTCTGGATGACCTAAGAAGCAGGCATCACGTTGTCGCAGCACCTATGTCGTCGTAGTTGAAAAAATAAAGTTTTTATTAGTTATAAACTTTAAATGATTTTTAAGTAGGTTGGAATAGGAATTGAAGTTGTCATATCCTGTAAGAATTAATCAGCTTGTGGTATACCTCAATAGCGGTTTCAAGATTTAATTTTAGGGACTTCAGCCCGAAAGATTTTTTTTATTTTATTTTTATAACAAGAATTAATTTGAAGGGAGAGAAAGAAACTATCTATATGAAATTATGTTTAACTGATTCTTTCATTCTGCCCAATTGCAAAAAAGGAATTTAATAGTTATTACTGTAATACACATTATAATTTAAAAAATATAACTTTAAAATATTTAGGACTTCTTATATATATATATGAAGCTCTGGGACTGAAGCCCCTCAAAATTAAATCATGTATCCGTTAGTACCTACAATGACAAATATGGACCAATGAAAAAAACTAAGGTGTGTGCAGACCACTCGGTAGAAGTGAAAACATCAACAAGGCGAGAATAATAATATGCAATATAAATTATAAATAATAGCTCAATTTAAAGAGGTTGAAATGCTGAACATTTCCCTCGCTTACAGTATGAAGGTCCGATTTTTAGTTTCTGACATATTTTAATCCATATATTCAATAAAACTCGTTATCGTTTGGTTTTCGAGACAATTTTTTCCCTTTTCGTCTCTCGTAGTATGTCGTCGGATTAAGATACAATTTTGAATAATACCCCATTACAGAGAAGATGAAATGCTGAACGATCCCCTCGCTTACAGTATGCAGGTTCGATGTTTAGTTTCTGAGTTATTTTAATCCATATCTTCGATAAGACACGTTATAATTTGATTTTTGACAATATTTTTTTTCCTTTGCTCCTTTCTAAAAGGGCTTTGTGTAAAGATACAATTTTGAATAATACCCCATTACAGAGAAGATGAAATGCTGAACGATCCCCTCGCTTACAGTATGCAGGTTCGATGTTTAGTTTCTGAGTTATTTTAATCCATATCTTCGATAAGACACGTTATAATTTGATTTTTGACAATATTTTTTTTCCTTTGCTCCTTTCTAAAAGGGCTTTGTGTAAAGATAAAATTTTGAATAATAGCTCATTACAAAGAAGATAAAATTGTGAACATTTCTCTCACTAACAATATGCAGGTAAGATTTTTAGTTTTTGAGTTATTTTAATGCATATGCAAAAACACTTCAATTAGTCGACTCCAGCCGGGTTTACGTGGGCGTTACACATCGGAGATCTGACGACTCTATCTAATTCACTTGCCACAAAAAAAGTACAAATCGCGCCTAAAGAAGTTTTCACTTCGAAAAATATATTTCATTTTGGGGTAGGAGAATATTCCTTCCTTAGTGACATTGATTTTCAATTATACATTACATTATAGAATAACAAATCTGAGCCGGAAGGAAGAAGTTACTGAAGTCCCATTGTTCACAAATCACCACCCGATTCGGGCTAAGGTCTGCATTGTAGCGGCTCTTGTGATGGTATACCAACTAGAATGGAATGCATACATCTGCCTCTCCAAGGATAGTATCGCGTGTCATAACACACGACAGGGAGGATATGGTTTCCTCGTGGAGAAGCAGTGGTTTCGAAAATATTTAAGTTTCAAATAGCATTCAGTTCTCTGGTGTAAAATCAATAAGGTGGTGGAAATTAAGAGATACAATCTCCAGAAGATATTAATTGTGGATCCCCTTATAAGACTCATGATAATGGTCGCAATTCCAGTCGCCTGGAAGGTCAGCTCGTTGCCCATTGGAGGACCCGGGATATGATGGAAAGTCGATTACTCGACACTGTATTGGCATAAGTGGGTGTCGGAACCCACGCAGGATCCCACCTGCCCAGGTAGCCGCGGAATGCAGGGACTTGCTGGCCCTGTCCTGGCCACTCTTATCTCAAACTGTAACCAACTGAGTGACTGCTTCCACTTGAGCTATCTTTGTATACCAGCAAATGTTATTATTCCATTAGCTGCATTGTCACCATACTGATGGGAGTGCTATTCTTCTGTGTCTTGTGATTTTGATTTCTTTTCTTGTCCCTTTCTGGTCCCCACGAAATGATTGTTCAATACCACGATGACAGATTGGTAGGTCCTTATGAAGTTAAGGAGTAAAACCTAAAGACTATCAACGCCGTTAATTATAGTCCGTGCTGCAGACGTCTTTTTATCAAATTCTTAATATCCGCCTGGAACATCGTAAATACCTTGTTCTCATCGCAACCTTTAACTATTTTATTTACGAACATTCTCGAAATTAGGGCGTTTTCAATCTGGAAACTAGTAGCAAACTTAATTAGGTACTAAGAACTCGTAAATACCCACTTGAATCATAAGATTATTTGAGCACTAATCAAGGATAAAGGTGCCCTTCAAAAATATTGAGCCGTTTCGCATGAACTACTCTTCCACAATGTCTAAGTAACGAGGTTATATAGACCCAATATTTTTGTAAGCCACCTTTTTTTCTCGATTTTGTGATCAAATTATCTGACGATCCAAGTGGAAAGCAAATGGGCATTTACGAGTTTTTAGTACTTAATTAAATAGAAAAAGTTTGCCGACCACTAGATTGAAAACGCCCTCCCCCCCCAAATCCAAGAGTTTTAGTAAATAAAATATTTGTAGGTTACGATGAGATGAAGCTATTAACGAAGTGTCAGACAGATTGATTGGATAAAAAAGGGCCTGTTCCATGGACTATTTGGTTTATGTATATTTTTCTTTGTAGTTAAATTTGACGGTTGTGCATAAAAATAAATCATAAAAAATAAAAAAGGATAGATAATGTTTCAGATATTTTTAAAAACTAGTTCGGAGAAAAAAGACATGACATTATTTAAGATTTTTTTCCCAATTTCCCAAATCATTTTTCATGGTATCATTTTTTCATTTAACATTGTGATGTAAAAGGCGCAACTCTCAAAGTTATGGACCAATGTCATTTTCTCTTCACACATTCCACAAATTTTATTGGCGGGATTTTATTGAGTCTAGGGTTTTTACAGTTCCTAATTTTTGTCTACCGAGAAAATGTTTAATCTTAAATCAAATTCACCGAGAGAGGCAACATAAAGCTTATCACATTTTAATACAGGTTTGGTAAACAAAATAACCTACCCCTGTTATTATAGATCCGCTTCCAAATACCTAATCTGGACAAGTTTCTAACTTGGAATTCTTCTAAACCGGGATAAAATTCTATTTTATAATGAAAAGTTCATCTTGAAAACTATAACCAGGTTTGATTGTGATATACGGAATTGAAGTTATTGTTCCAATAAATTATCAAACGCCTGCCGTAACCTACCACTACAATAATATTTAATTCCGAAAACTCTATAATACAACAAAGAAAATTATTCAAAATTAACATAGAAATCGGTATTTTTATTGACTATTTATTTAAAACATGAGGATGATAACCAACTTGCCGACGTTTTGACCCAACTATGATATTCATCATCGAGGTATTGGCTATCGTCTAGTCTAACATCGAGAACTCAGAGAGTCGAAACGTCGGCAAGCAAAAAAAAAACCAATCTAGACTGCAAATCCTGATTCTTTATCATCCTCATATTCATATTAACTTTGAAGTCTATTATGATCTGGATTTGGTCAGATTCCTGCTCTTCCGTTATTTCATCCAAAACCCATAAACCCCGATATATGCTCAACCTTGCTTCCCTATGGATTCCCGAATAATCGTTCGAGATGTTTTGAAAAGCAGATGGCCTCGAAAACTTACATACCCAAAGAACAATAATGGATTGCATACCACCAAGGAAAAGTTTCTTTTCAAGTCATATTATTTAGTTATCTTATATACTCATTATACTCAAATCTACATCTGCAAATCTCAATAAATAATTTTTTTTTGAAATTGTGGAAAAAGGGAAAAAATTCAAATTTCAGTAGTTGAAATAAAATTTCCCAATAATTACAATATTTTAAACAAAAGTTCTAAACTATTTTATTAATTGGAACAAAATTCTTAAATAATTGTCATAGTACTAAATGTTACAAAGCTTATCTACTTCAAACAAAATTCCTCGAATCTTGGTAAAGAAATATCTTTATTTTCAAAAATTTTTGGATTTTCGGTTTAAAAAGAGAGGATTAACAATTATAATATAATATTTATTGTAATTTACTCTCTTAATAAAAGAACAAGTTTACAAGAAGAATGTATTTGTGACATTGATCTATATAATTAAAATATGTCAGTAATTCTTGTAATGTTGTTTAGTATCTTTCCAAATCGATTTACCTGAAGGAAAATAATTACTGACCTCACGCCATATTGTCAAAGAAATTTACTAATTACTATAATTGCATAAAATGATACCCGAAATCCTTAGCTGGGCAGCCTGGGACCCAAGTTGCCACAACAGAGAACGGACATAATTGAGGTTCCTTGGACCTATTTTCTTTTCGCTCATGGCGAACGACTTCGGGCGGAGGTAAATTCCTTCCATATTTAATATCAAACGACATATTTTAAAGGCAGGTTTTAGCGTGATTTATTTGCAATGGTGTAGAAGAGTGAGTGGGTGACAAACCATGTTGAGTCACATACTAGAGTTAGAGAATATTCAAATTAGGTTTTCAAGGGATGTATGGCTTTCTATGGCAGTGGTTATCTAAATTTCAAATTACGTTACTAACAGAAGAGATTATATAATATAGCTGAGAAAAATTTGTTGTGTTCGTAATACAAAGAACACTACCAGGTACACTATCAACAGTGATAACTATGATTCGACCAAAGAGAGATAGTACTGAACAACTGAAGAAAATAGTGTTCAGTGGCATGTTAAAATATAAAACAAGTGGATAAAGAGGAGAGGACTTTCTGGCAGAAACCTCCTAAAAAATTGAAAATATTTTTTTTTACGTTGACCCATTTTTTGTTTATATTATTGATCAGCGGCAAATACTTAAACAATCATAAGATATGACACCGGTTTTGTAATAATAAAGCTATACTGATGACGACACGTATAGCTGAAGTGTTGTCCTTAAAGAATGACAACTTTTGTTTTCTGATTATAGTTGTAAAAAAACATAAATATGCATAAATGGGCATTAGAGATAAGCTGTGAAAAAGACAGTAATTGATGGATCAGTTATGTGGGCGGGCGAAGCCGTTAGAACTGACTTGTGAAGAACCACTAGGATGTTGGATAGAGAGAAAGGTTGTGAATAAGTTCAACAGCTGTTATATAGAACTATAACACAAAGAGAGAAAGCAAAATTAAAATTAAATTCTTTTTTATAATATTAATTCAAAACTTCTTTTGATACTTTTTTCTTTGTAGCTCTTAGTTACAATGCCCTAAAGTGAAGGAAACATCTATTATTCTTAAATTATTTTGGTTTCACATATAATTTTAAAATATTTGATTTCAAGTTGTACTCGTACAGAAAGCAAATCAAATTCGCAAGCAATTCCAATAATGAGGAATGTTATATGCTGAATAGACAAAGCAGTCATGAAACGTCCAAGTGGAAATTAAAAAAAGAAAAAAAAAACAGTTCTAATTACAAGTGTTTATTTGATTAAATTATATATAGGTATAACTGAAATAGATAGGTCTTTATTAGCATGGGGTGAGGAGGAAATAAGAATTAATGAATAAAAGTTAAGAATATGAGCTAATAAAAAGACTTTCATTGTATATCTGCGGCACATGTGAAAAGTGTGTTAAGTGCAATTTTGATGGGTATCACCATAAAGTTAATTCGAATCACTTTATTTGCGTCTAAAACGCAAATAGTTATTACATAGCTATTACAGAGATGAATATTTCCTTGGTTAAAACTCGAAAATTGAACTTGTACCTCTAAAAATTTCAAACTTTCAATTGCAATTTTCCATAAATATGACTTTTTCACTTAGTACAATATGCGCAGGTGCCACAGACATTATCAAAGGTGTCTAAGAGATTTCCTTCCTTTGATCCTATTTATTGAATTTTCATTTATTGCAATAAATTAGGGTATAATAAATAGCGATGACTATTTTATGTTTTTTTTAAACCTAAAATACATTTGCAAAATATTCCTTGCCGACTGTAGCTTCTAGGATACTATCGCCTAGAATTATGGTTTGTTTCGATAAAAGCACATTTTACAGCTGAAAAACGTAAGACCAAGTACATTCTGTACCGACCTGGTACCTCTTCCCCATGTGTCCCACCATCCCACCATCCCAAAAATTTCCACTTCGAAATCTTTAAAACCTGACTTGTCCTGTCTGGAACTAATAATTGACTACCGTCATAGTTTTGATGACTAATATAATTTACTATCTGTCCCGTGCGGATAAATCACATAATATATTGCTCAGTGAACAATTGACAATATATTATAGATATAAGTTAATTCATGTATTATGAGATTAAGAAAATAAGTTTCTTTTTCTTAGTTGAATCACACGCTACTGTAAGTGCAAAAAGTAGCATGTAAAAACTGAATTGTGTTTAAAGAAGAGCATAAAAAGTGATTATTTTTTTATGACCTATTAGGATAATTTCATATTTTATTTCCCTCTGCTATTTTTCATTTTAGCAGACTACTTATTGCAGTTACTGAGTAACGGGTAATTAGCATATAACAGTGATTCATTCTATTAAATTCACTAATCTGTCAGAAAGCCGAATGCCTGCCTATAACTCGTGGAAGATTCAGTTCTCAAGTGGGATCCGCTGACATCCGAAATTTGATGTTAATTCATCAGAATCGCTCAGCTCTTGTAACGAGAGCTGCCATTGGCTCATGGAGAGTTGTCACTCATTGGAAGGAGGGTCTATAAATAGAAGATGGACGGTGATCTCAGTGCTGGAGCGGAGAGAAGAAAACAAGCCCTAATGTTTGCAGAGAGCGAGCGAGCCGCAATAACTCCAATCTCGAGCGATTAGTCTCGCGGGTTACGGCACGGGGCACTCCGTAACTTACGACAGTAGCTGTCGAAAGAGATAAGGTAACAAGGCGTAAATATCTCCTCCTAGCTGTCTGCTCCTATAATGCCTCTTATTAAACCGCTCAACACACGTAAACATAGTAATCGCCTACTAAACACGATACGATCACTAAGCGAGTTTCCACTTAAAAAAAAAAAAACAGCACTAATTCAAATAATACAGGATCTACAATATAGTTATTAACTACAAAAGATATTTAAATAAAATTACAGATTATCTACTATAAAAAATAAAATAAATACATGTTCATACAAATATATGGTTATATTACGTGATTGTTCGTTGGAATTTCAGTTCTAGAATTTCGTTGGTTTATCTGAAAAGTCATTTTTAAGGAAATTTTTGATGGAAGTAACCTTGTAGGACTGCTTTTTTAAATATAGATGAAAAAAGTGAGTGCGCTAAAACAACACAAATCCTTTTATATATCTAAAATAGTTACGCACAATGTTGTGATTTCACAATGAGAAAATTTATATTCACAAAGTTCTCAGAGATTTAAGGTTATGAGATGCCACTTAATTCCTTTTTACAGTAAACCGATAACATGTATTGTAATTAAGAAATTTAGGTTTCTAAGCGATTTTTCTTTTTTTGTATCAGCTAGGAAGCATAATAACAATGACAAATGAAAAAAAAAAAAACTTTTTATAAAGTAATTTGTGAACTTTATTCTTTCACAAATATTTATTTCTTTTATTACATTTATCTGTACTATGCGATGATATTCAGAAATTGTAAACTTGTTCCGTTATTCTATTACGCGAATAAATAAAGAATTTAATTGAAGTGTGAAATAAATTTTTATGAAGAATGAAATTCACAAAATTTCTTGTATAAAGAAAAATAGACAAAAATCATTTTTTGTCATCTAACGAAGAGATGCGATAAGATTTTCTAAAATACCGGTTTGTATAATGCAGCTTTAGTTATGAAACTGAGATCAACATATATATTTACAAACTTTAAAAAGTAGATTCATTGTAAAAAATACATTACGAAATATTCAAAATTAACCATTTCTGAATTTTTTTTGGTCGCAATGAATTTAAATACATTTTTCGATTAATTTTAGAGTTATAGATAAAGAGTCGTTACATTTTATAAATTTCATTAAATCGGTTGTAATATTCATATTATAAATTGTACCGTATATTTCATTAAATATATAAATTGCAGAATATAATTTTTTCAGCACTCCTTTCTCAGAATGATTTTAGACTTGAGAAATAAAATAACTATTAACATAAACGATCCAATTATAGTAAATGTAACAATTATATTTACTTATAATACATAAATGTTCAAACAAACAAAATTATAAAATGAAACATTCTTTTAAACATATCTGAATAAACTAATATCTTAGTCAAAATTGTTTTTAAATACAACAATTATAATCTAACATTAAAAAATAAACAGAGAATCATTAGAAACACAAATAAAAATGTAATATATATAATTAACCCTAAAAATATATGGTAACAATTCATTCACAAAAAGATAAATTATAGATAATTTATTTTAAAAAATGACAAATAAATAATCAAAAACATAAATAATAACAACAAAACATTAAAAAAAAAAAACTAAAAATGCATTCAAAATAATTATTATTAATTTAGGAACAATAGAGCATATTATTATTTCTTTGACAATTACTGCATCATTTATTTATTTTTTGCCCTCTCCTTAACTCGCCTTTCGGAATTTCACTTCATTGAAATTATTGCATTTCGTTAATACTTTTTTTTTAACAATGTGGAAACGTTGAAATACTTCACAAAGTTTTTTTTTTTTTTTGTCTATAAAATATGTATTTGCGCCTGTCAACAATAAGTTGACAATCAGCAAATGTGATGGCGATAATGATATAATGACATGACAGGCATGGGGAAGTAAATCCAGGCAAAGTTTAAATCCAGAATTTTAATTCGTAGTCCATATAAGTAATATAATATTATCAAATACGCAATATAATATGTTCGTCTAGCGGCCAGAAAGAAAATAAAATTAACGAAGAAAAAATATTGACAGTAAAATAGAAAAAAATATTCTCCTAAAATCTAATAATATAATTTTATGAAAAGCGTGTTTTATGATAAATAATTTCTACTAAAGACAAAATTAATTATGGCACGTCATATACACGAACGTTAAAAAGCGTTTCAATGCAGTTGGATATGAAAAAATTTTAAATAAATGTATTTCTGAATTTAAATAAAATTTTAGAATCTTTTATTAAAAATAAAAAAGGATGTGCACCACCAAGACACGGGGATGAAGCCACTGGGTAAAAGTCCAAGAGAAGGCAACAAGGTCGTGCCCTATATCCTGTTATGGACAACGTCGCACCTTTAACACCTGTCACCAATTATCTTCCATAAACTGTTACATTACAACATAAATTATTAAAAATTAAATTAAATATTTACATTTTCCTGGAGTAGATGTATTTTCTTTACAGCAGTTGAAACATTTGAAAAAAGAAACAGGCTATTTTTGGAACAAAATTCTGATTTTCTATTATAATTTCCAGAAATAATTTTGGAGACTATAATTTATTTTCGATAGCAAAAAAAGTAAAATTGAATCTTTATTATTTAATATTTTTCAAATAGAGCATTAATAGACTACTTCGCAAATAATTAGCTGTTCAATTACATACAAACTTACCTCATATTAAAAAAAAAAAATTAACAAGTCTAGAAAATATATCCGGTTTATTACAGAAAGTCATTAAATGGCATTTCATAACCTTAAATCACTGAGAACTATGATGAATTTTCACTTTGTGAAATCTGAAATTTTTTCATTGTGGTGTTAACTACACTTACTATATGTTTTTATTTATAAACAAGATCAAAATTCACAAAAATAATCTTAAAAGTTCAACTCCATTAATAATGTATTTATTGGCCTTTTGTTATAAACTGATGACATTTTTAATACATAGGTTACTATATTTAAAAGTGAACAACTCTGATTGATATTAATAGACATTGAGTGTTTTCATCGTTTTTTAACATGCTTTTATGTGATAAAACTTGTACATTAAATTTGAACATAACTTCATAACTCTACATTACATATTATATTATGTACTGCATAACTTCAAGAATGTAATCCAATGTTTAAATTTTAATACATTACTTTTTTTATTTTTTTAGTAATGTTATTTAACAGATGACAAATTGATAAGAATTAATATAATATGCAGATTATTAAACAGATTAAAAAACATTTTAAAATATCAAGATTTTAATACTAAAAAAAATTATTTTAAATATAAGTCGTTCCAGAAAAAAAAAAAACACCTCCACAGCTAATTTCTTTTCTTGTAAAACCAGAAAAAATGTCAGTTGTTAGAATAACATTTATTAATAAAGAAATCATGTTCCATGACTTTAATACATACATTTTTGGAAAGAATTTGTATTTCATTAGCAAAGAATAAAGTCTTAAAAATAAAGTCACTGATAGGTGAGAACGAAGAAAAACTAACATAAAACACTTTTATGTTTCAAAAAGTGTGGTAAGATGAATCTTGATATGGCATATCATTTATTGTGAAAAAAAATGACATGCTTAAACCTCAAAATCAAAATTCTGCTCTAATTACTTATTAATAACTAACTTACTAATTAATATCTTATAGAAAAATATAGAGGTACAATAAACATGAAAACTAAAATATAAAAATAAAATCAAGCCACTGTTTTTCGAACATCTATTAATACTAAAATCTCAATTCATCAATTTTTTTTATAGAAATCTTGAATTATTATTAGATACAAAATCTGTACATATATATAAAATTTAATGGTCATAACTTAATTTAATTTTAACTTAATTTAAATCCATAAGAATAGGTAATAATTAAATGGGAAAAAAAAAGAGACTATATTGTAAAAAAATCATGATTCAGTGAAGGATTTCAGAACAATTTAAATTTCATAAAATTGATAAAATGGCAGTGAATTATAATACACTAAAAAATTACCTTTGATACTTCTATAAACCTAAAAAATAATTGCAATTGTTTTTAGTATAAGGATGAAAAATTTAAGGTTTTTTATTTTTTATTAAAATTTAGTGTTTGGAATATATAGAGGTTCTATGTGTTTAAAATCCAACATAAAAAATTCTACAAGTACTTTTATTTTTGTATCTACTTTTGTAGACATATGAAAGAAAATAAAGAAAGAGATAAGAATTTTCTATTTTTAAAGTGTGTATAGATTAACAATGGTATTAATTAATACTTATGAGATTTCAACTTTCAATTTTTTTATAACAAAAATATTATTCATCAACATAAAATTCTAAAATTAATTAAGAACTCTACATAATAAAAAAGACTGAAACAATACAAAAATTTTATATTTTGTGATATGTATTATATTTTGAGGCTTTCAACTCGTAGTAATTCAATATGGTAACACTTATATTTATATTATTCTGAAGAAACTTCCATTGTAATTGTTTCCAGGAAGAAGCTATATAATGGTATAAAAGGTATACAATCAGCAACATTTAAACAAGAAAAACCTAGTATTAAATTGAAAATTAAAGATCACTCTCTGATTGTTACAGATATTCAAATATAAAATAATAAACATACAAAGGTGTTGACATAACATATATTAACTATGAAAGGAGATACATAATTAAAATATTTGTACTGTAAGATCAAGATTTTCGGAATTTTACCGTTGACAGTCTCTATTTTATTTTAAAACTTTATTTGTACTGTTTAAAGCAAAGAGTGAATACAACATTGCTTCCATACTATACATAATATATTGCAACAAAACATATTGATACAAAGATTTTAAAAAGTCAATGTTTAAAAGCATCCATAAAATAAACAACAAACCGTTACTTAAAAAAAGACGTGAGTAGAAGGGGTGACAAGATACTGATTTAATTTTTATCTTAACAATTGACAATCGACACACAAATTTACCAGATATCTGTTA